AACAGAGAAACAAACGGAACACACGCATGTACCTACAAACGTACACTCTTAACAGGGGGCTCTCGTGGCCTAGAGGTTAAGGTGTTGGCCTCTCATTCAAAGGTCCCGGGTTCGATTCCGGGTAGCGACCAAAAAATTTTCTTCTCTAAAATTGTCTCCTTTCCCATCCTTTCCTGATCTCTAACAATGTTCTGTTGTCTGCTTTCATTTCCACTTTCTGCCCCCACCCCCTCACCTCCTTTGCCCCCTCCTCTGGGCTCCTGGCTCTTTCTGCAGCCTTTCTACTGCTACTCCTTGGCTCCTCCTAACTGCTGTCTTTCTGCCACACCCCTGATCTTCTGGTAGGAAAGATCTACACCTAGCCTTCTCGGACAAGGGCGAAAAATCTCGGAGGGCCCGTGTGCAAGTTGCGCACGTTAAAGATCCCTTGGTGGTCTAAAATCGACAAGAGTAGGCTTCGGCCGCCACCCGGGCAAAATTCCAAATTTCCTACCAACTGAAAAATATTAGGTGTGTCCCGCGCGCTCATATGACCTATGCAGTTGCGAGCGCCGTAAAACCCTATACTAAACTACTACTACTAAAAACACATACTAAGTACACCAGGACAACAAAACAAAAGACACATTACGTACGCCGAGAAAACAAGTAAAAAGGCACATTATGTACGTCACGAGAACTAGAAAAAAGACGCATTACGTACGCCAAGAGATCGAGACAGAAGACACATTACGTACATCAAGAGAACTAGAAAAAAGGCGCTCTGCGTACGCCAAGAGAACTAGAAAAAAGACGCATTACGTACGCCAAGAGATCGAGACAGAAGACACATTACGTACATCAAGAGAACTAGAAAAAAGGCGCTCTGCGTACGCCAAGAGAACTAGAAAAAAGACGCATTACGTACGCCAAGAGATCGAGACAGAAGACACTTTACGTTCACCAAGAGAACTAGAAAAAAGGCGCACTGCGTACGCCAAGAGAACTAGAAAAAAGACGCATTACGTACGCCATGAAAACTAGAAAACCAACACACATTACGTACGCCAAGAGATTTAGAGTATATTCATTTACTCAAAACAGGATCCTGTCACACAACAAAAATTGTGACGTAGGACTGGCCCGATATCACTCAGCGACTCAGCAATACAAGGAAGACTAAACATTAAGTCTGAGAGTGATGCTGAAGCAATTCATGGTTCTTAACTATTATAAAGATAATATACCGATGCTGGCAAAAGATTGCATCGAGAGTCTTTTCACCGAAGAAATTTCGCAGCATCTCATAGCCCACCCCTTTTCTACTATTAAAAAAATACACATGGGTAGAAGACAAACAAGGAATCGGGTTAGAAGAAAACGAAAAATATCGAAACGCCATTTTACTGAGTAAGGCCCATGCTACGAATTTTAATAAAATAAGATAAGGTAAGATAAAATAAGATAAGCTTTAATGATCCAGGACGGAAATGTTCAGTGAATATAACAGTACAATAACATGTTCAGCTTCACAACACAGAAACGCTTTTAATGTATAATGATACATACGACAAGCATAATTTACTCACAGTAGTGTGATAAATTTAATTTACTTTCCTGAAAGCGTTTTACAGTCTAGCATGTTTAATGCCTGTCGCGTACCTATTATTCAGATCTCAGAAGGCGTCTTTTTTTTCATCAGAAAACAAATAATGAAACTGGCTAATAAACGCGTACGCCCGTGATATTTTCACAAGACACACGTTTCATAACCCCGGATCTTCTTACATGCCTTTCCCCTTATTTCTGTTGAACATTTCTCTCAGGATTTCCTTGTATTTTGAACTCATGTTGTAGTAGACGAAGATGTTCACGGTAGAATTTACAGCCTCCATTGAGTTCAAAACCGTCCAGGTCAGCAAATACAAGTTATGATATCTGCCAACCATATTGTACTCGTTGATGCTGAACTGGGCAATAATATTGAGTGTCCCCGGTAACAAGCAAACAATGAAAATGACAGCACAAAGAAGAATCATTTTCACCACCTTTTTGTCTCTGTTCGTTACCGACTCCTGTTTAGCGGAGCTGGACGTCGACTGCCGCCATTTTGATTTCACGAGAAGATTCTGGACGAGGATGACGGTGCAGACGAGAACTGCAATGAAAGCAGCAATCTGAGAAAGGGTATTGATAGACAGACAAACGTCCTTGGTATTCAAACCGTCCTCTGTGTAGATCAGTCCAATTTTCGTCGCATTCCTTCCAGGGAAAAACCTAGGCCCGAGACTGATGGAATAATACACTGGTACTACACTGACAATCATTGTTAGATATATGCCGACAAGCACGACATTCGTGGTTGTTGGTGTTATAATTGTTTTGACTTTGAGGGGCAGGGCAATGCACAGACACCTCTCAAATGTGACCCAGGCTGTGATCCAGCTGGAGATTCGAGCAAAACAAAGGCGAAGCCAGCCTGCCGTGATGTAGGTGAAGCCTTGCTGGTCAATGGGCAGGTCGGCGTTCATGAACAAAGGGTTGTAGCTGATGCTCATCCACAGAAGCGTAAGTGAGGATAATACATCGGAAACGGCCAGGCCGAATAATGTAATATTCACGGTGTCTTTGAAGCCCTGCTTAAAGAAGACGATTATGTTAATGGTGTTGAAGATCATTCCAAAGAAACTCACGATTCCCAGAACAACGACGTAGAAAATGAAGATGAAGATGTTCAGGAGATCAGCATCTACCAAGCCTGCCTGCGTTGATTCGGAAGGTTGCGAGTGGCTTTTGTTTGCAGAGGCCATCCCGGATGTAGGAAGAAGTAAGACCACGAGTATAAACATCAGAATCTATTGTAGTAAAAAGAAAGAAAAAATACAAATGAATGAGCTAAAAGAAGAATTACTGGGAGGGAGGGGTTGGGGGGGGGGATAAATCGTTAAGCGTATACAGGCGTGACTTCATGTTTACTTATTTACCTAGGAATGTGAGTTGATTGAAGGGCGCATTATAATTTCTCAACCTTGACCATGTATAAGGTGAGAGCAACTATATTAAAAATAGGCTATTGCACTAACAATGATTCTCTAAGGTTAGGTTGTGTCTAACTAATTATTTGCATATGCAATAAGATCTAATTTGGACTAGGTTTTTTTTTAAAAAGTATTAGCAACCAAATTAAGATCAATATTTTCCTTGATGTAGCCGTACGTAATTATAATATTTTACCAAATTAATCCATTCTTGTTCTTTTTTTAATGAAGATGTACTTACGCCTCATCGACACAACTTGGATTATTTAGGAAGCAGGCTTCCCGCCATGCCTCTCAGGGCCAACTAGGGCTAAGAGGGATACATCCCAGAAGAAAGTCCGAGATGCCCAATAAAAATGTTCTCTTCACTCGGGAAGAGGGCTCAGGTCTCCTCCGTGCGACAGCGAAGCGCTTACCCGCTATACCACGGACGCCAGTAGCCATAGCCTTCGGATCATGAATATCAGTACGGGGGTAAACGTGGAGAACATCGTGTACTTGTAGCCATAGATTTGTACTCTTAGACAAGGAGATTAAAAGTAAACTCCTTGACTCCTAGACCGTGTACTGTCATGGCCGACGCTCTTCGTTCTTTGTAAAAACTTCTAATCTGAAACTTACCCCCCTCCCCC